AGATCCTGGAAAGCGTTACTTTGGAGCGGCTGGCCCGGTAAGTTGATTCGGGTTTAGGGTTTCGGGTTAAGGGTTGTAGGGTTTAGGGTTGTAGGGTTTAGGGTTGAAGGTTTAGGATTTAGGGTTTTCGGGGCTAGGGTTCAGTTTAATTGGTGTTTAGGGCTTTAGGGTTCAGGTTCGCTGAAGCGGGCTATATAGGGGAAGCCACATTTGTTTGTTGGCTTCCCTCCCGAACGAGCTCCCAAGTCTCCCCTGGATGTCGATCCGGCTTCACCTTCGGGATTCGCAGACCCAAAATTCCGAAATAAAGCCTAACTTGTCAGGATGTCAAGGAGAGTGGCAAACATCAAAAGTTCTCCTGCCAAAACCCTTATTTCATGCTGGGAGACATGGAATCTGCGTGGCAAGCACTTAGATAGCAAGCTTTCAAGCATTCAGGCCCGTTTCATGAGATTTTTCTTGCAGCCGAAGCAGGACTCATTTTCCGTTTTCCCTGCTTCAGCCAGTGCTTGTGAACAAAACTGGCTTGCTGTTAAGGAACATAATTCAAGTTACCACGTTTTGGGTACATAGTACATCATATGGTTTCCCCAAGTTCCGTAACAGCAGCCCAGTACACCCAACTCAACACTTCCCGAAGGCGTCAAGCCATGGACTTACCATGGCGGGGCTTCTTGCATGATTCACTTAATCTGACGGTCATTGCAATGTATGTAGATCTATAACAGCTCCATCAAATCCTGTAAGGGCACAAGGCACGTAGTATTCTCTCGTAGGTGTTCCAATGTTCACAGCGCTTGCTCTACCGTTTGCAGGGCGGCAAGTTTGGCATGCAGCTTACGGCACGTGACTTCGACGGCTTCTTTCAACCACGAGGGCCCTGATGAACAGAGATCCATAGCAAGATTCCTGCCTAGAGAGGGCGGGGCAGCGTTGACTTATATACAAACAATCAGGATTTTAGCCTAGATCTCATGAAGCTCCTCATTCCAAGACTCCATACCGCTAACCCTAAACCCGTATACTATATTCCCTAGGCTTATTCCCTACTACCCCTTAGTAAGTAAAGCGACCAAGGTCCAGAGCTTTGGCTCATCGTGCGCGCGGGCACCCAGAGCAAGGTGAGTAGGGTGCAAGATCAGTAGGGCTAAGAACCTAACACTGGGGGTAAGCACGGAATAAGGGAATAGATGATAGGGTTAGTGGGGAATATGGGAACCTATTAGAGGTTCTGGGAAGAAAGGAATATATTCTGCAGGGATTATATGGAGATTATGTTCCCTTACTCCCTGTACTGACCACCAGTAAGCCTAATACTGGTAATGTACGGCCCCTGCTCATTCAGCTTTTCGAACCTAGTGGTCATGGCGATGATTTCTGCATTGGCCGCAGTATTTTTGAGACACAAGGAGTGCTAGGGTACAGTACAAAGGTTAGGATCACCTATAGGCTCCATTGAACAATAGTCCGAACTGGGTTGAATGTATCAATTTCTGTGCGTTTGGGTCCGGTGTTGGGACCAACGTGTTTGAGGGCATTCCTACACCGGGCTAGGTACGATTGCCTATGTGATCACCGCTAGAATACAGACTTTTGGGTTCAAGGTTCGGTGCCTTCATGCTGGTTTGGGGTGTCGTAAAAAGGCATGGTACCATGGCTGGCCTTAATTATGCAGAGTTTGGAGGCCGGCATTGGTGGGTTCAGCTTTAGGCAAGGTAATTGGCCTTCTGATATGGGACCATACATGCGTGGCCTAACATTTGCACGTCCACAAGTTGCTAACGCCGAGGGTCCGGGCCAAAGTAAGGGTTGCACCATGTCTTTAGAGGCAGCTACATCCTTAGACCTGCGGGAGCTTGCTTGTTGAAGATGAAACATAGAGCTCCGATTGGTAGGAGCTGCTATCTAGCACATCAGCGCCGAAGTCCGCCCAGGAAACATCCTGGCTAAGCGCCTGGTGATGCAGATGGCAGTTGAGCTTGTGACTCGGGAGCTTTACGGCTGATGTTTCCTCAACCGTTGTAGGATGAGCGTGCTTGTGTTTACGTGAGTCTTGGTCTTGTGAGACGCTGAAGACCATGCAGAACACTGCCCAAAGCAGTCTGCAGATGTCGAAGTGGCTTTGTGAGACTTGGAGAAACAGTGCCAGTGTCATGTACATCCCAAGCCCCACGCCCTAAACCTTGTACCCCGAGTGTCCATACTGTCCGACAGGATGTCCATACTGTCCCAGAGGGTGCCTTTCCCAACGTCATCTATAACTTCTTCTTCTTGCTGGAGACTTGTATGCTGCCAACACCCTGTCACAGTCTCCCAACACGGTAATTGTTGTCGCATTATACCTGCCTGGTGTTCTCTTGTACGGTGGGTGCAGCATCCAAGCCTGAACTAAGAAAAGCCTTTGATATGGTAGAACAGGGGTCTGCCAGCATGAAAACGGACTGAGGGTGTGAAGTTTGAGGTTTCGTAGTTGGATGGATAGTTGCATGCGGTGTTCCAAGTTCAGTAATCTCACTGGAGACAACCCATGAACCTCGACTGCAGTAGTCTCCTCTTCATTTTCCATGTTCATTTGCATTTGATTCTCCACTATCGGGATTTATCCCTAAACCCTACACCCTAAACTCTGAATAGTCGTTTCCATTTGTTCCATGAAAACCGAATAGAACACCAAACAACAAAGAAGTATCATAACGCTATAGAAACCCCTGACCCTTTAGGATGCCTATTGTCATCCTAAATATTCCCAAAGAGCAAGTATCATTGCATCATAGCATGCTCGGAATCACAATGCTGGCCCAAGTGCAGATGTCTCACCGAAGAGCCCCTGGCTAACGATTCTGCAACGAGCTTCAAACAATCCACAGGGACCTACGGAGCTTCGTAGCGGACTATATGATTTCAAATTCTATAGGTTTCAATACGGATTTTCAATTAATCAGAGCTGGAGTGCTGAGGGAGAACCATCAACTGGCCAAGGCGCTTGCAGAATGCGTCGACTTGTCAGGTAACCAATGCATGTGTGGGCTTTGGGTAGTAGCCCTCCTCTTCAAGCAAAATTCGCGCAACTGCTACCTCAGGAAGCCCAAAACTGCTCAATAAAGGGTTATACCTTAAATCATAATACCAGTGAAGTATACTCTCAAACACGGTGAGAAGAGGACTAGACGTCTCTTTGATGCTGCTCAACTCTCGGTGATCGTTTGTCGGGAGGTCTCAGGTTTAGGGTGCAGGGTTTAGGGGTCAGAGTTTAGGATACAGCTCTTGGTGATCGTTTGTCGCGGACCGAGAAAACAGCCCGCAAGCCTCATGCTGAAAAAGTTGATCAGAGTGCCCAATGCTAGCTTGGCTTTAGGAATTTCTAGATATTCCTTTTCTTGGTTTTAGAAGTACCCCATATAGGGCTCTCAAGGCCAACCAGAAGTGGGTGGTGCTGTAACGTTGGAGTTTGGTTGGAGTTTGGTCTTCAGGCTGTACTTGGGGCCCTATGGGTTTAGGGTGTAGGGTTCGGGAGTGTGGGTCCTACTCTTTCGGGGAGAGTGTATAAACTTTTTTGAGAAGCCCCCTTATGAGAATGTGGGGTCCTAATACTGGAGCCTGCAATCAAGACCTGTTTTTGGCCATTCAGGTGTTTGTAAAATCAGCCCTTTCGCTGCCCTTGCTGCTCTTTATGTGCTTGGCTGTGCAATGTTGACTAAACCCTAAACCTTAGAGGGGGGTGTCCAGTAGCATGGTCACTTTTTGAAGATAGTTGTCCAATCGCGGACAAACTTCTGGCGTATTCCTGGGAATACTGCTTTGTAAGGCCCCTATATCTATCCCAAACTTGGGAGTAGCAAAAGCTTTCGGAGGGTCTCAGGCTCCCTTACTGAGTAATGGAAGAAGTGTTTACATGAGCTTTGGCATTGTACATTCGACTACAGAAGTTACAGATGTTACGCACCCTGCACAGAAGAGATAATCAAACCCCCACCTCCAGCGTTCCTTCTAATACATCACTCCATACCCGCCTAATAAGAGATATTCCCAATGTTGTATGGTAGAATTTACGAGGAAATCTTATTTGGACTGGGTGCGGTATTCTTAGGGGGAGGGGATCACCCTTGCACCTGCGGAATGTAGGAACGTGTATCTTGGCTTTGATTCTGGCAACATGGTGGTGACATGGGGAGTTCCGAAGCTTCCATCATCTTTGGTTCGTCAAAGGCAGATTCAGAAATTCAGGGCTTTCAATTCAGGCGATCTGAAGGCCATTATCCTAAGTCCCTAGATGCCCTACATGGCATGCGCTGCAGCTTTGATAGCCTCAGAATATGGGTCTCTTCCGACCAGCAGCACATAGGCCTGCGACAGCCATGGTCAGCTCTCTTATCGAGGCTCCTCAAAAGCTAGGAAAGAAACACTGGAGATGTGGTTACAACCTCTAGCACATGATTGTTATGTTCACAAGTTGCAATCCTTTTGTGTGATGTAGACACTTAGCTCAAAGCAGGGCCTCGTTGGGCATACTAGATTCCTAGATCATAGGTGTTGCGTTGCTAAGAGAACATCAAAGGGTCAGAAAGTATTTTGACAAGGGTAAGGTCAATCCAGAAGTATATGGGGCTTCCAAGGAATACCAGTAAGTGTGTATGCATGTGCATGTGTATGTACTTGTATATACGCATGGGCTTTGTTTTCGAGGGACATACATCTACATGCCACCTCCTATCAGCCTCATTCTTGTTCCCACATATCTTCTGAATGGTTATAAGTGGGTTCCCGCGCAAAACGAGCTGATTCTTGGAGGCAGTATGCAGAAGCTGTGGGAAACAATTGGCTTATGTCGGGTGATTTTTCTGCTTGCATAGAATAGAATGCTCTGACATATTCTCATATCTCTCATGGTCTTGTCAATGCTTGTGTGGTGGGTGTGACATTAAGTCAGCGCATGCGAAAGGATTCTGGCTCAAAGCAGCTGCAACCTGTAAGTTATAAGAATATATAGCCAGGATCCACACATGGCTTCGTTGGCTGCAATGTTGCATGGGCGGGCCTCACCTGCGGAAGTCGAGATGGACGATGCTTTCGAAGAGCTGTTGGGCAGGCTGCATGCTTGTCACCTACAGGAGGTTCAAGAGTTGTTGCCGGGTCTCGCTTTATGATGACTTTCTTTTTCCTTGTCTCGTAGAGGAACCTGGGCAGTAGATTTTGAAGCCAGAACCGAGCTTGAACCTTGTGCCCCTCCGAAGAAGTACCTGAAGTACCTGAAGCAGCAACAGCCCCCTCGCAATCCCCGTGACCTCCTGAAAAGGGATCCTTGTCGTATCCCACGTGGGTTGAATAAGGGAATGTAATCCCTCTATAACATATTCCCTTATTCCCTACTGATCCTTGGTAAATCCAGGCAGCTAGAAATAACCACACTGCGGCAAGCTGCGCCTTCCCGGCCGAGCCTGATCAAGGCCAATGGTGGCACTGACTCTTGGCTTGTTGAGGGTTTAGGATTTTGAGCAAGGGTTTAGGGTTCAGGGTTTAGGGCCATTGTCTTCATCCCCTTTCCCCCTCATAACTAACTCCCTAACCCCGCAGAAATACAAAATCCCCGCCATCACATGATATTACTATGCCGGGACGATTTATCAATCATTATTTGCATGCTGAGTTATTTTGGATGGTCCCCTTGGGAGTTGCAGGTATTTGGAGAGAGGATGAAGGATGAATCTGGGGATATGGGGCGTCGGATTTCTTGAAACTGATGTTTCCCATTTTTGTTGGGTGGGCTACTTGAGGCACATGTCCTACTATTTTGCCAGGTGCTACACACAGCGACCCTGAGTCGAGAATTTGCAAAATCTTGCTTGAATACAGTTGTTGGCAGAATATGGGGATCCTGATTACCTGGACCTCCCAAAAAGACACCTATGGCTTCGGACACAGTTTCATTACCTCGTCCTAGTATTTGGAGCACCAGAATTTCTGGCACCCGTCCGAGACCACGTTGAACTACGTACGCAAGTTTGAGTCTACAGGAGATGCAGGGTAGACCTATGCTGCTTCAGATGCAACCCTAGCTGTCCAAGAGCTGTCCCTTTGTAATTCTGTTTAAGAAGAGGTTTTCCACAAGGCTAGAGCCAAGTCTGTCTGACTACTCCAGAACAGCCCTCCGAAAAGGCCGACGATTTCCAAGCCGAACCCTGCACCCCAAATCCTCAACCCTGAACCATAAACCCTCACAAACTGTTCAGTGGGACACCCGGAGACAACCACCCTGGACACGAGCATGCCAGCCGGAGCCAGATGAGAAGCTTAGATAGTTACCAGTAGAATTCCGCATAAGCCTTGCATGAGCCATAGTCTACATTCCTTCACGGGGGGGTTATATGGTGGATCATATGTGGGAATACTATAGTGGATATTAAGGGGGATGCTAGGAGTTAAGACTATAGTTCATGTCTTGTTTGTTTTTTTGGGGGCAGACCGCAACAAATAGCTAATTAACTCTATAACGATGGAGCGAAAATCAAGTGGAACACGACATCCCACTGGAGCTATACAGGTCTTACATAGAATTTGCATTGACTTTTAAACGGGTTCATCAAAACCCAGATGAAGGCCAATGAGATGGGAGAACACGCAGGCTCAAGCCTAGAGACCTGACTGCATGTTGGCTTTTTCTGAGTACACGCATAATCGTATGGTTGCTTCGACCTCTAAGCCTTATAAACCCTAAGAACTCTCGATGTTTCATGCCTTGCTGGAGTTCAGGGATTTGATGTCTTGTTGAACCTAATGAAGTAGGAGGTGCCAGCCTCGAGTTTTAGTTTCCTCTTTTTTGTGTGCCAGCACCACAGGGATTTGTGTGCTTTGGGGACGAGTGCATGAGGCCCTCATGTTGCGATGTAGCCTGCTCGATGTGTGTGCTTCTGTTGGGTTGAAGGTTAAGGAGGTCACTGGTTAACTGATAGTTGCACAGGTTTCGCGGCTGACATGCTCGCCATTATGGCAGAAAGGCCGGGACATGCGGCGGTAGCTCTACGACTACAATTTTTCCCACGACAACTTCGAGAGGCTCTAGAACGTCTCTACTAAAACTTGAAGCCTAAACGTCTAAGCCCAGAAGCCCTAACTCTCAAATAACAGTCCCAACGCAGTAAATCCAAAAGCGCTGAACTCTGATAACTCGGATCCCACAACCTAGTTCCCGTTACGTTGGGTGGTATACACATATTCTGTACCAGAGAACATAAGAAATCTAAAGGAACTACATAGGAAGCCCTGGATGACCCTGAAACCCTAACCCCCCCGGATAACCCTAAATCCTTAACACCAGCCGAGGCGTTGCCTAAGGACGATGAGGGTGAGGACCCACAGGAAGCTATCATTGCCATGTCAAAGGCCAGCTTTGCCGATTAAAGTTGAGAAAAAGGGGATTATATACCATTGTATAGGGTTTATTTAGGGGATGTATAAGGATATTCACTCAGTCATGGAGAATCACATGAACACACATGGAAAATGAAGAGGAAAACTAGTGTGTGTGTGTGTATATATACATACATAGGGTTGTTTAGGGTTCGGAGTCTTAGGGGTTTAGCGTTCTGGGTAGTTGACGAGTTTTGGGATTTGAGGATTGCGCATGACAATTTTGGCCTTAGGTCATGTTTAGGGGTAGCTGTGTTGGTTTAGGCCAAGGGTTCACCGGATTATGGTTTTCGAGTTTAGGGCTTGAGGCTGCAGTGGGCATTCTTCTAGAAAGCAAATGCCAGCAGCATCAGCGGCAGCAGCAGTAGAAACAAAGGACTCGCTGCAGATCGCCACGGCAGCCGAATCATGGCGATCAACCTTCATAAGGGAGAAAGTGTCAAACGTGTTTGGGAATGCTCTGTGCGAGTTTGAAGGGGACCGTAATAAACAGTAATTAGAAAAATTGGATAGTACGCATATGTTTAGTAGTAATAATCATACTATATATTAATCATTGTAGTACTAATATAATAATCCTGTAATGAGACGAGGTCCACTCCCATCCAGATGACATCATGGCAACCTCTGTTGGTACTGCAAAGCACTGGCAGCGGGGAAAGAGGCGGGCGGCGAGCAAGAAGGCATTGAGAAGATCAAGCTCTCTTACATGGGAGGGTATCCCTGCTGAACTCGTAGCGCTTTTGGTGTTTTGAATTTTGGTGTTGAGGCAATGTGGCTTTCGAGTTTTTTGAGTAACTGGCAAGCTGAGGTAAGATTCGGCCCTTCCTGCAGAAAATCATCACGCATCCCTGGGTGGAGTGCATAATGAGCCTGCTCATCCTTTGCAATGCTCTCGTCTCTTGCCGGTGATTAGCACAAAAAATGGGTCCCTACTGGAGTCCTATTAGGATCCCATGGAGTCCCAGTGGCCTCATATCCCATTCCTCCAGGCCCTACTTGCCACAAGTAAGGTGTTTGCCATGGAAGCGCAGTACCGGGGGTTGCATCTAGGGGAAGATCTGGGATTCAGCGACAGTGACGAGAGCTGGCCAGGCCCGGCCCAAATGTTGAGATGCTCTTCTTTGTGACAGCACATTATGGTACTCAAGTAGTTGGGAATCCAAGAACCCGAACCGCTGGCATAGATGTTGACCATTGCCATTCATTGTTTCTGGAGCTGTTGCTGATTTGCGGTCATTCTTCGGTGCTCTCTTATGAGGACAATCCCATATGCTTCCTAGCAAGGCAGTGTTGCTTGTGGCAGGGCGGCAGCAGCTGCAGCAACATCAGGAAGCAATGGCGCTGTAATCACACAAAAGATTACTTTCTTCGGTGTTCTTCTTGTACGGAGGGCTCATGAAACACCCCTGTGCGAGACATAGACTATTTGGAACCATGAATTAACGACATTTTCGCCTTCCATGTGGAGGAGCTGGAGATGTCTTCGCGGCCCTGGAGTTGGCATTTGGCATAATCTTTACAGTGCCACGGCGATGTCAGCATGTAGAGTTCAGGGAAGTGTTCAGCTCTTGAGAGGGCGAAGAAGCACGCAATTTAAATTTCATTCATGGTCTACCTCGACAATAGTAGTGTGAGCGTCGTTACAATGCCTCCCTCCTCCCCACAGTTTCAGGCGGAATCTCAAAACAAAGGTCCAGAAAATTGGGGCTTGTAATAAAACCTCTGGAGCCTGAGCTCTCGCGGAGTTGAGTAAGAATAAGACTAGGAGTAAGAGTAGGAGTAGCAGCACGAGTAGTAGGAGTGAGAGCAAAAGTAGTAGTAGGAGTAGGAGCAAGTGTATGAGTAGGAGTACTGGCCGGGGAATTGTATTACCGCCCCTTTATAATCACCCCCTGAATGGCCAGTATGTGCACAGGCAAAACAAGTAAATCAGAGGTTCGCAATTACAATCAAGCTAATAATCCCAAATCTCAGGATTTTCTTTGGCCCGGGGAATTATTAGTACCACCCCCCATAATATAATAACGACGCTTACATGACATGCAACCAGAGCAGACGGGAGCAAGCAACAACCGCTCTTGACAGTTCACAGTCCATACCGGCGGGCACATCAGCAGCGCGGCTTGCCGCATTTAAGGACCCGAACATTTGGAATAAGGCCAGCTGCCAAGGACAATGTGCTCCTTGAGGGCACATGGGATCACATGGCTGGTGGCCAATCAGCCCTCAATAGCGCATCCTGCTGTCCAGTTGCAGCGCACATGCATACGACGCTGAGGCGCTTGCGCAACTAGCACAAACTAGAAAGCACATGCTGGACAGCAGCTATCGGCGATTACCAGGCGAGGCTCAGCCTCGGAAGCACCTGCGCAGCGACACGGCCCAGAACAAATCTAGCAAGCATTAGGGGTCATGCGAACAGATCCCTCACAATATGCTACAGTCTACACGATAGGATTCAGGATTGTGCTGGGCTTCTACAGTAGTCCACCCGAAGTAGAAAAGCCACAGATGGTCCGGCTCACATGCCATGATTTTGCGAGGCCGAAGATTCTGTTTAATCAAAAGCCACAGCCCGCCTTTCTCAAAGGTACCGGAATGGTTTCTGGGCAAGCCACCTGGGGTCACTGGGGATTCCCAAAACCTGCGTGGTTTTTGGGTCAAAGGCATGTTGGGTCCTAATCCTCACTTGATATGCGGCGTGTGGGATGATTGAAAGGCATTATGAAGTGAGGCGACTGCATGTTTGCTCGCATGGTAGACTCCGAATGATACAGGAATCCTCCGGACATGACCAAACATCCCTAAGGCCTTGACATTGCACTCAAACCCCAAGCATTCAGCCAGTACAGGGTCTGCAAATGACAAAGAAGACGGAAGGTTCAAGCAGCTTCATGCTCATTACTGATTTCAATTTGCTTTCTTCAACCGCCTTGGTGGCCTCAGTCCCCCAAATCAGGACCATGTGACCGATACCCTACTGTCCCAATCCTTTGGCTTACAGCAGCTAGGGGGAAGCCACCTTCCCCAAGCCGTCGAGGTGGAAGTTTCTACCAGGTTCCTGGCCGAGGGTGGCTTGGCGGAGTTTGGGCATGATATCTTGCTTCCCATAGTTCCTCCATGCTGCAGAAAAGAGGTCACCGACAAGGTCACGCAAAGGTGAGTTGGTCACCCCAAGCCTTAGGTTCAGTTCAAACCTGTCGACTTTTAGATTTCAGATGTATGTTTTTCAGCAGCCGGGTCCCCCCATTATCTGAAACCTGGACATTCAGGAAGTTCCGCATGATAGCAGCTGATCTCTCTACGGGTGCTGAGTGCCAATGCGTGCGAAAACTCATGGACTGTGTGAAAAGATGTGAGCATTTCTCAAGTTGCTGCTTCCTCTTTTTGGGGCTTGCATACTGGATTGTTAATGTGAGGGAACGTGGTGTTTGATATTGACGCGCTATGCTATATACCTTATGAAGTACCATATCCATATACTTCAAATTTTTATCCTACATAGCATATGCTATATTATGATACACTGAGATATACCCATGCTCAGGGCTAAGCCAAGGTTGCAGCTTCTTCAAGGAGGCATGGAATTGGCTTGATGCATTCGTCATCCTTGTGTGGCTTGTAGAGACTCGGTGCTCCAGTATACCATGTCAGTGTCAGGGTTTCTCGACACTACCCTTGAGGGGCCGCAGCACTTTGGGGGCCGCAGGAGATTACTAAGGGATTATGGGTGAGGATCCTTCTGTAAGAAGAGCTTCACATGTAGGAGCAAGCTGAAATCCTTAATTAAGGCAAGAATCTCGCCAAAAAGGCTGACGCCGGATTTCCAGATTTGGGGCAAGAACTTTAAGAGGAGGTTTCGGTGGTTGCCTTGAGGCTTCCAGCGGGTGTTGTAGGAAAGGATGTTCCTGGTTAACGGCTCAAGTTCTCCAAAACAGTGGGCCGCGTTTGGTGGACTATTGTATCCTGTGGGGGATCACGCGAACATGAGCAGTTGCTGCTTTCCCTACGGAAGGAGCGATTTGAGGGATCTTGTGATTCTGCTCTGGTCGCCACCACCCTAGATGAACAAGCACCCACCCTTACCCCATCCTTCCCCTAGTAATAGACATTCCCAATATACTACCGATCAAGAACTGCAGGACAGGAAGAACTTAGATTATGGGTGGGGGTTTTAAGGGATAGGATGGTCAGAATTGCATGTCTAGACCCCATTGCATCATGCTGGACGCGCATGAAGCTATTCAACGCCAAAGGCAATCAACCCCAACAGCCTAACCCTAAACCCTAACCTGAGCACGAGACAGCCTGACAGCAAAAGCCCTTAACCCCAACCCGAATCGCATCCTAGGAGAAGCTTGTGAGAAACTTCCCGGTCAACAGCCAAATTCTTCGCCTCGGGCGGGTGTTTCGGCTGCTTCGGCTGCTGAGAATCTTGGCTGCCCCCGGTGGGCTTGGGGACTAAGGTTGTCAAGGGGACTGGGAAAGGATTAAAAAATGGGACATCATGAGGCTGTCTCTGTATGGACTCTGGGTGTAGGTTTGAGGGGAAATTCAGGGCAAGCACTTTGGAGGCAAAGCTTTATGGGAGTCTTTGAAGGGTGCTAAATTCCTTGGGCTTTCAATTTCTCCAAGAGATCATACCCAGAGCCTCCAATGTAATGTTGGACCCGGTTATGCATGGGCACCCGCTTT